CATAGTCGATCCTAATCTTGGTAAGAGAAAAAAAGTCTACCAAGTTAGGTAGGTGAAGTGTACACGGACAAATTGTTTTTGTACACATAAATTTGGTTTCAATTTGTGTATGGCTATGGCTTCTGAAAATCTCAGTATGCCTCACTGACTGTTTCCATATAAAATGTTGAAAGCTGTTTGAACATTAACTTTGTGACCTGTTTCTATGATATGTTTAGTTATAGATGAAGAGGTTTGTCTCCCACCAGCGTTTATCACAGTTTCTCTCAACTGCATGGCTCGATTACTCCTCCCTATGTATGTGTGACACTTAAGGCTGCACTGGGTTCAAAATCACAACACTTATGGAAAATGGATATCCGATGAAGTTTATAAACCGTTGTGGAGGTCAAGTAGCATCAAAGCCAACTCTATACACCATCCTTAAGAAAAGTGTCCATCATACAGAGAGGAGTTGAATAGTATCATTTTGAGACGTAGGCTGACATCAGCCATTAAGAAAACATAATACGCTATGAATCTTATCATTGTGGAGAAAACAAAACATATGCATCAACGATTCCTTCACATCCTATTGTGTTTACCAGTTTACATGTGTGTGTGGTTACACATACATTATTATTTATTATTATTATTTATCCCTTGGGTTCCTAGGGGAACATACGGCTTCAGTAGCATGTCTCAATTCCACTCACTTCTCTGCAGTCTTTTGAACCTCACTCTACGACTGCCCACAAGCTCTCATTTCTTCCTCACACTATCTCCTCCATGTCACCATCAGCCAGGACGCCCAACTAGGTTCCACTCAACGGCCTGACCTATCTGACGCGTGATGTCCCCAAATGGTCTTCTCAGTGCATGCCCAATCCATCTCCACTTCCTTCTGCATATTTGTTGAGTGATAGGTTCTTGGTTGGTTCGTTGCCAGCCAGCCAGTCAGAGTTCCTTGTTGCTTATTCTTATTACTCTGGACATCTGAGCTACAGTAACGAGCCAGCGTAGGCAGTTGTTGATGAAGATCTGTAGTTTGTTCAGAATGCCTTTCGTAATGCACCAAGTCTCTGAGCCATGCAGAAGCACTCACTTGGCTGACATCGGTGTTGGAAATCCGGATGTTGTTCACGATTCATGATGAGTGCAGAAGATCTCCACACTGGTTTCACGTCAATGAACACCCATCTTGCTGTCTTTCCGACCCTGGCTACTTTCGACGTCCTCGTCTGTGCCTGTGACATCTGTAGTTAAAACGATGTGTCCAGATAGGTGAAAGAGACTGCTTCCTTCAGGTTTCACCCATTGGTGAATATTGGAGCTTGTTGTTGTTGGTGTTGTCGGTTGAGTATCTGCATCACCTCTGTCTTCTCTACATTCACCTCAAGGAAGTCCGTCTTCGCTGCTCTACCTCTTCTGTCAACTTGTTAGTTTTTGCATGTACATCTTCAAGTTTGTGTGACATTCGACATAAATCATCATCGTTGGTGAAATTGAAATCTTCTAGGATGTTTTCATCTGTCCAGTGTATGGTCATCTTCTGGCTCCTCACAGTTTGTTGCATGGTCGAATCAACCCTAATCAGGAAGATCATTGGTGATAGTAGGAGGCAGTTTTGTCTTACTCCTGTCTTCACTTCAAAGGCATCACTGAACTTCCCATTGTGAATTACTTGGCATGTGGTGTCTTCATATAGTAGTTGAATGAGATTGATAAATGTTTGTGGCACTAAACCGTAGTATTGAAGTAGTTGCCAAATTACTTGTCATTCGACACTGTCGAATGCCTTTCCAAAGTGTATGAAGTTGAGGTAGAGGGTTGACTGCCATTCTATGCTGTGTTCTATGATGATGCGTAGCTTTGCAATTTGGTCCGCACATGAGTTGTACTTCCTGTATCCAGACTGTTCGTGTCGTGATTTTGAACGCAGCACACCCTTTAGTGTCACACATACATAGGGAGGAGTAATCGAGCCATGCAGTTGAGAGAAACTGTGATAAACGCTGGTAGGAGACAAACCTCTTCATCTATAACTAAACATATCATAGAAACAGGTCACAAAGTTAATGTTCAAACAGCTTTCAACATTTTATATGGAAACAGTCAGTGAGGCATACTGAGATTTTCAGAAGCCATAGCCATACACAAATTGAAACCAAATTTATGTGTACAAAAACAATTTGTCCGTGTACACTTCACCTACCTAACTTGGTAGACTTTTTTTCTCTTACCAAGATTAGGATCGACTATGTCACTTCTTGTTTGTTCTCATCTTTCTTAGTTTTAATCGCCTGCTTATCTTATTTGTTGTATTTATCCTCTCACTCTTCAGCTTAATATATATATATATATATATATATATATATATATATATATATGTTGACTTGACAATTAAATGTGTGAGGGATCAGATTGTTCGAAATGTATTGCGCAAATACATCACATTGTTCAGATAAACTTCATCGTCTAATTATGCTATCGAAATTCATAAAAAGGGACTAACTGTTTCAATATTTTAAATGATCAGATTTAGTAAGAAAAATTCAACTTCTGCTTGTAAGGGAAGTTTCATGATAAGGAATATCTGAAGACAGGTAATGGGTATTTGATATCTCTGGTTGTCAATGAAATAGCTGTGCGTTTTGATACTGTGTATAGATTTTCTTTTTCATGAAATCAAATTTTGGTGAATTAATGTCATTTTTCTGATTAATAGAATGGTAGCCTACTGCAAAACTCTGTGGTATTTAGAGTGATTAGTTCTGCGCTTGAATCTTGATGGAAACAACATTATTGACTCAGTCGAAGGTATATCAAGGTTATAAGCCTCAAATAAGGCGAAATATGCCTTCTTGATTCCATTGCTAGCCACTATCTATCATTACTAACAAACTGAAACTACAAGCAGTATCAAAGCATCCATTCAGGGGCCCATTCTACAAAAGAGACCAATCAAATGCGTCTAATAAACGATGAGAAATTATAAGTAATAACTTAGGTTATTAACCACTATTAGAAATATAAAATTACATCAGCAAGTGATATATAACTGAAAATATGGTCTTTTTTATTTATTTATAAAATGTATCACCTTGAGACATTTTTTAACAAATAAGGCATAACTCTGAAAGATATCTTAAAATCCTGCAGCGTTGCTTTTTAATAAGAAATTACAACATCTTTGGAAAACGAATTCATGACATATATGAGGGTTCTTTAAACTGATATGCATTACTCACTTCACAGACTCGCTTTCCTATCAACTGGTGTAAAATACTTCATATTATTTGTCCACTGGGTTCATAGTGGAACACAGATCTTCAGTAAAGTGTCAATATTTCACTCTCTTCTATCCATGCTCACAAACACAACTCAAAAACTGCCTAACAACAACATTTCACTTCTTACTCACACCATCTCCTCCATATCACCATCACATCGAATGCCAAACTCGTAGTTTCCAGTTCCCTTCAAATCAATGGCCTGACTGATCTGACACACGATGACCATGAATGCTCTTCTCAATGTATGTCCAATCAAATCCAATCCATCTCCATTTGCTTCCAGTGCATATTTGTTGGGTGATAGGTTGTTGGTTGGTTGGTTCGTTGTGTGGTCACAGTTGCATGTTGCTTATTCTCATTGTTCCAGCCATCTGATGTGATGTTCAGTATTGATTGGACGAGTGCAGGTGACAGCTGTTGATGATGTATGATGTCTTGAGATTGTTGGAAATGTTTTTGTAATGCGTCGAGTCTGTCAAGCATCACGTGGAATGACTGACTTAGTTGACTGACTCAGTGTTGAATATCCAGATCTTGTTCACTCTTCATGCTGAGTGCAGGTGGTGGAGCGCAGTGCAGTGTAGTAGATCTCCACACCGATCTCCATAGATGAATGAAGGAAGGCTGGCTTTGACATTCTCCTTTGCGTCTCTGCCGCCTGTAGTTGAGACAACACTGCCTTGGCAGGTAGGTAGGTGAAAGAGACAACCTGCTTCATATTTCTCGCGTTGGTGGTGATTGGTGCTTGTTGTTGTTGGTTGGTTATCTTCATGACATATGTCTTCTCCACATTCACCAGAAGGATGTTCCGTCTTCTCTGCTCTACCCTGTCCAACCCTACCATGCCTCTTCTGATTACTTGTTAGTTTCCACCTAAAGATCTCCGAGTTTGTGTATCGCTAGACATCATTAATCATCGGCGAAATCCAAATCTTCTACGGTCTCTTCATCTATCAAGCAGCGTATACCCATCTTATCACAGCTCCTTACAGTTTCTTCCACAATCCAGTCAAGTCCAGTCCAGTCCGATCCAGTCAACCACAATCAGGAAGATGATCGGTGATAGTAGGTGGCAACCTTGTCTTGTCTTGCTTTCTTACTCCTGTCTCCACTTCACTCACTTCATCTGATTTCCAGGGCATCAGTGAGCTGAGTTCTCCATTTTGTTATGAATCAATCGGCATGTAGCATCATATAGCATATAGCTGCTGTTGAATGAGGTTGATAAAGGATTGTATCGCTAAAGCCGCAGTGTTGGAACAGCTGCCTGCCAAATACTCCTCAGTCGATGCCTCGATTGAAGACCTTTTCAAAGTGAATGAAGTTGAGGTGGAGAGTTGACTGCCATTCTATGCTCTTTTCTATGATGATGCGTAGCGCGCGTAGCGTCGCATTTGATCGGCACATGATTTGTTCTTCCTGAAGCCGGCCAGCCAGACAGCCTGTTCCGGTCGTATTTTTGAATCCGGAGCATCTTTTAGTCTCTCCAGAATGATGTTGCTTAATATTTTGTTAGCTTTGGGCGAACGTTAGCATCATTCCACGCCAGTTCTTGCGAAGACTTGTGCTCACCCTTCTTTGGAAGTTTGACAAGTGGCACTTCTTTCAATCGGCAGGTACTTTGTAAAATATACTTATTTCAATAACAAGACATATTAAAAGCTAGTGTAAACAAATAACTGACATTATCATTCATCAAAAAAGGTTAGGTTACTTTCTGCTTACTGTAATTTTCATCGAATGGATTACATTTAGGTTGTGGGAATGTCCATGAGATGCCTTCTCCAGATATACATTCACTTTCCATAGTTCCATAAATATCGGATTCACATAGCACCTGTGAAAGATGTACTAGAGATCAGCTAATGTGTCTGTTATTACAAACATGATTCATAAATAACATAAATTCATCAATAAAGATGTATACTAAACGATACTGCTTTGATTACTTTTAGTTAACATACTGGTAAGTGAATAAACTTAAAAGGCAACAGTATTTAGAAGGCATGTTTAGACTACTACACAGTTTATTGGTGAATTAAAATTTCTTGATACATTTTAGATGGCTACAGATGGTTGGTAGGAAGCCACGTTTCACCAAAATTTCATGTTCTTTGGAGTGCATCAGTAAGATTCATCTGGAACCTTGAAAGAACTGATGTCCATTGTGAGATTCTTACTCGTATCACCTAGTGGAATAGTCATAAATGTTATCAGTAAGCTACTCGGGATGTGACTGAACCCCCCTGAACTGGTTGATCACTGAAAGTAATCAGTTTCCTGTTCTCTAGTCCTAGAGGGTTGATAGAATGGTGTTCATCATTTTGTAATGTGATCACCAAGCTAGGATATTTAGAATCGAGATGTACTTTGATTGATGTCAGGTATATCTAAACCAGCCTTATAGAAGTTATCTCAGTGGCAACGTCTCAGACTGAAGCACTCGGCGATATGGGTTTGAATCTCATATAGGACATCAATTCTTTGGGAGATGTAGAAAGGCTTTACTGATGAGAGCCAATAACCACAAAACCTAAGTGCTGTGAGGCTTCCTACCGATTGCCTCCAACAGTTAAAGTGCACCGTGATGATAATTCTCTGAACTGGTAGTCACATTACGAAATGATTGCTAGAATTTAGTCAGTACTTTGAACTAGACAGCATGATATTGGTTACTCTTTGGGAACCATTCAATGTAATTCCTGTTTCATTTAGCAAATTTATAAGAGCTTCATCAAGAAAAAAATACATAAGGCTAATACATTTTACACATATGAAAATCGACTATACTGATTTCAACAAAGTATCACAGAATAAAGAGAGAATCTGGTAGAAATGTCGGTAACACTATGTTACTTTGACTGTGCATTTCGATTTCAGTAAAACTCTTAAGTTGTAATGTTCAACAGCAGCATTTTCAAAGATCGTTAGTCATCAGTAAACTTACCCTAAGTAATTCCTACTCGAATTAGAAGATGAAAAGATAAACATTATAAAGCATATTGCATTGGATTCCCTGAGCTTACAGGTATGCAGCAGGAAGCACAGTTTGTTGATGTTTAAAATCCATACAAAATCTTAGCTTCTGTAAGGTAGACACTTGACAGGTTCGTCATTTACAATACGTAAGTACTCCCCGTCACTTTCAACTAAACTGATAGCATAGGCCTTCCTATCCGTACGTCAAGAGATACTAACCCAGCCAAATAACATTCAGACTATTCATTTACCTTACAGCTATCAACATGAAGGAATATTATGAATAGTTTAACCAATCATACATGGTATCCTTTCCAACAACACTAGTATGCCTAATATTATGAAGCATGATCTGACAACCACACATAGAAGTGGTTAGTTTTGATGTCACAAGTCTTTATACTAAAATACCAATCAACATAACATTGGAGATAATCAGAAATCACTTAAATATTGACTCAGAACTTACTCACAGAACTAAGATATCGGTTAATGAAATCAGCTGCCCCTGACCTCCACAGTATTTAAGTTTCAGGGCGAAATATACGGAAGAACAAAAGAAGTAGCGATGGGATCGCCAGTATCTCCAATCGTAGAAGATATATTTATGCATAGTTGAGAAAATATGTGGCTTTATAAATGTTCAATTCTGCACCTAAAATATACTGGCGATATGTGGATGACACACTTACTATGCTGAAATCGGAACATATTGATAACTTACTCACACATAAACTCAGTAGTAGGCGAAATCCAATCGACTTACGAGGTAGAAAATGAACAAGGAGAATTACTTATGTTAGATTACAGGATAAAACGATTAACAGACGGTGGTTTGGATACTACCATCTACAGGAAACCGACAAATTCTAATAGGTATCTAGACTTCAGGTCGTCTCATCCAATGTCAATAAGGCAGGTTTAGTCAAGTGGCTAAATGATAGAGCTCAAAATCTAACCAGTCAGTGGGTGGGCCTAAATAAAGGACTGAAGCTAATAAAAAAAGCGTTACTAACTAGTGCTTTAACCACTTTAGTTTGTTAGGAATTTGTACAAACATGAATAATGACGACAACATGAGTAGAAAGGGGTTCAAAGTTTCAATTGAGTTACCCTATAAGGAAGAAACATCAGAAAATTTACGCTGGATTCTCAACAAAGCTGGAATTATGGTGGTATTAAAACCTATAAACTCATAGATAAGCTTCATCGGCTTAAGGATCCGATAGAACCAGTTAAACAAAATAATCGAATCTATCAAATTTCATGTAATCACTATGATGTCAAGTACATAGGTCAAACTAGCCGGTCAGTGTCAGTTAGATTAGCGAAACACTGACATTTAGCTAGATCTAGAATGATAGACCCAGAATAAGATCAATAATCTAGAAAAGTAGTCGGCTATTGTATTGCATTTATTAACAGAACCGAACAATAGGAGTGAGACAAAACTACTGTCCAAAATAGTTAGGGAGAGAGAGAGAGAGAGTGAGTGAGTGAGTGAGTGATTACTCAATCTTTGTTCATCATCGAATCAATACACTCAGAACAGAGAATGTAAAGTAACAGGACTATAGGATTTTCAGGTGTAATTTATGCTCAAAACGTTATCAAATAAATCATTATATATCACATAACGAAATCTAATTGAAATTACACAGTACCATAGTGCCCAAGTTTTACATTTATATTAATGACCATTGTTACTGGTATGATTTTGAAATTTATGCATATTGTTTTTAGTTTGAGGATAATAGTTCATTTTCAGTCTACAGTAATTATACTTTCTATATTGGTCATTATCTTTATATGAGCATGAATAATTAAAATCATATATAACTATTAGTAAGTAGTGAATATTGATTTCAACTGAAATATGAGATACTTCTCTAGGTTTCATGTGTTCAATACAATCTGAGAGTATCATCAAAGTTAGTGAAAATCTTCATGATACTGTAGTACACTTCGTTGCATAACCACTTGTGTCATTCAGTTGTAAGCAGTAAAAGAACTGTATTGTTTACTAGTTCACTATTCGGACATAATTTATGCTGTCCACAATCATATCAAGGTAACTACACAACTTTGAGATCTCCTCTATATAATTCTAATTTCCTCGTCTCTCTATGTGAGATGGGTGGTAAGATTTTCCATATATTCAGAACAGGTACTGAGTCATTCCTGTCGCTGTATGTATGAGGTGTTGATTCGATACACAAAGATTCAGTTATCAATCTCTCTCTCCCTCCACCGTGCTAAATGTTAGTTGTAAGGATTCTCACTCTGTCCCATCCCATTGTGTGGTTGTGTGTAATCGCATGCATAGCTATGGCTGGACTATTTTTTCTAAATTCCTTACCTTACTAGGATCTACCAATTTCGACCCAGTTAACTTTTTGTGTTCGGATAGCCTAATTGACCCTGGTCGACTACTTTGACCTGCGTATTTGACCTGGTAATCGTTGCAAGGGATTTGGTAAATTAAGTTATCCTACTCGATTGGGTCAATAGGACGTTTTAACCTACAAAGCTTATTTCGAAGTGAGTTTGTAGGTTTAAATGCCACTCTAATCCCAGTCAGCCTTGTTGAGAATTCTACGTAGTGTTTCTGAGGTGCCTTCTTTGTATGGTAATACTGTGGAGGTTTTGAATTCTCTATTCACAGTATTGCCGCTATTATTACCTGTGTTGTTGATATTTTTGTTACAATTCCTAAGGTGGTTATCAATTGAATTCGGAGGGTAAGTACTGACGAGTAGGGTGTCCTTATTGTAACTGACTTCTTGCCTTAGATCTTCTGCTTTTCCAGTAAGCATTTTTGGCCAACTTTAACTGACGCAGAGTGAGACAATTTGATGATTAAGGGCTTAATCATCAACAATTACCCTCCCAAATTAATTGATGAGCTCCTTAGGAATGGTAAGAAAAATATTAGTAACAGAGTTGTTAATAGTAGTAACAACAACAACAACAACAACACAGGCATTAAAAGTAGTAATAATAGCGGCAATACTGTGAATAGAGAATTCAAAACCTCCACAGTATTACCATACAAAGAAGGCACCTCAGAAACACTACGTAGAATTCTCAACAAGGCTGACTGGGATTAGAGTGGCATTTAAACCTACAAACTCACTTCGAAATAAGCTTTGTAGGTTAAAACGTCCTATTGACCCAATCGAGTAGGATAACTTAATTTACCAAATCCCTTGCAACGATTACCAGGTCAAATACGCAGGTCAAAGTAGTCGACCAGGGTCAATTAGGCTATCCGAACACAAAAAGTTAACTGGGTCGAAATTGGTAGATCCTAGTAAGGTAAGGAATTTAGAAAAAATAGTCCAGCCATAGCTATGCATGCGATTACACACAACCACACAATGGGATGGGACAGAGTGAGAATCCTTACAACTAACATTTAGCACGGTGGAGGGAGAGAGAGATTGATAACTGAATCTTTGTGTATCGAATCAACACCTCATACATACAGCGACAGGAATTACTCAGTACCTGACTGTGGACAGCATAAATTATGTCCGAATAGTGAACTAGTAAACAATACAGTTCTTTTACTGTGTGATAAATCTAATAAATCAATGAAAGTGGAATTACATTCTACCACAATGCACATGTTTTACTCTTATGTTAAAGAAGTATTTTACCTTTCAAATCCAAAACATTCATAATTCAAATTTTAGGATCTACGTTCATCTGTAGTGGAAAGACGTAATGGTTTATAGGTAATAATCTGTATTGTAAACCCGCCCTTTAGTCTCTTATCAATACGGCGAAGAAAAAGTTATTTTAAAGCCTGGAATTTAGTGGAAGCGCAGCAGACTAGACACTAAAGAAGGCTGTCTGTCGGAAGAACAGTCAATGTAGCCACTCTGCAAATCCTTTATACTAGTCGCTTTATCGTCAGCGCGTATTCGAAGATCAAACTGTTAATGGTAGTCACTTTAATGTGCATACATCATTTCATGTGCATCTGTGGAACTACTTGCATAGACTGTACACAGAAGCAGAAGTAGACACCAACACCATAGAGGGTTGTTTAGTAAACATTAACGCAGGTCAGTCAACAGCAGCTCTCTATTACAATATTTGATTGACAGTGGACACACAGTCCCAGAAGATTTGTTTGCACAAGTCTACAAAGGATATAAAGGAACATTTACTCTGCATTGCTAAAACTCTGGCAACACAACAATCTAAACTGAAACTATGTATCTGGAAGCATACTTTTCACTCCCTATCCTTATTCAATTCTTAATTCTTAGAACTTTTGCTTCTAGATCCCAAATAATCTTCTAACTTTTACATTGTTAAGACGTAAATGATTTTCGTTTAGCTAAGTTATAAATTTCTTATTCCCTTGCTCACTTTGTTATCAAGTTTTCAATCTATGATTTCAATTCATATTTACTTATTCACCTCATCAAATGTTTTCATATTTCTTATGGAAATTTCCATTTCTTTATCATTTTAATGACCACAAACTATAAACAATTACTGTTTAACAAATACTGACATATTTATACACCCTGACGGTATTGAAATATGATTGTACAGCTGTGGAGCATAACATTGTCCTTCTGCATATTTGTTGAGTGATAGGTTCTAACTTCGTTGGTTCGTTGCCAGCCAGACAGACAGACAGCCAGCCACCCAGCCACCCAACCAGTCAGAGTTCCTTGTTGCTTATTCTTATTATTATGACCTTCTCATCTGATCTTCAGTACCAGTGAGCGTTGACAGTTGTTGATGATGAATATCTATAGTTTGTTCAGAATGCCTTTCGTAATGCACCAAGTCTCTGAGTAATGCAGAAGCACTCACTTGGCTGACATTGGTGTTGGAAATCTGGATCTTGTTCACGATTCATGATGAGTGTAGAAGATCTCCACACTGGTTTCACGTCAATGACACCTATCTTGCTGTCTTTCCGATCCTGGCTACTTTCGACGTCCTCGTCTGTGCTTGTGCCGTCTGTAGTTTAAACGATGTTGTCCAGATAGGTGAAAGAGACTGCTTCCTTCAGGTTTCATCCTTTGGTGCTGGTAGGAGCTTGTTGTTGGTGGTGGTGTTGTCGGTTGAGTATCTGCATCACCTCTGACTTCTCTACATTCACCTCAAGGAAGTCCGTCTTCGCTGCTCTACCTCTTCTGTCAACATGTTAGTTTTTGCATGTATATCTTCAAGTTTGTGTGACATTCGACATAAATCATCATCGTTGGTGAAACTGAAATCTTCTAGGATGTTTTCATCTGTCCAGTGTATGGTCATCTTCTGGCTCTTCACAGTTTGTTGCATGGTCGAATCAACCACAATGAGGATGATCATTGGTGATAGTAGGAGGCAGTTTTGTCTTATTCCTGTCTTCACTTCAAAGGCATCACTGAGCTTCCTATTGTGAATTACTTGGAATGTGGCATCTTCATATAGTAGTTGAATGAGATTGATAAATGTTTGTTTCACTGAAAGCGTAGTGTTGAATTAGTTGCGAAATTACTTGTCGTTCGACACTGTCGAATGCCTTTTCAAATTGTATGAAGTTGAGGCAGACGGTTGACTGGCATTCCATACCCTGTTTGTATGATGATCATGGATAGGCAGTTAATCAAATGTGCATGAATAGGCCTCTTGATATGGATTTATATCTAATAAAATTGACATTTGTTGATCATTAGATCATCTGATCTAACCATATATCATTGATAATCTTCAAAAGTCTAAGACTATTCTTCAGATGAATGACTAACCATTACTTAAGAAGTCAGATGACGTAGTCAGAGAATGTAAGTTATCTGAGAAATATGATGTATTTACGCCATACATTTTCAATAATTGATCATACATTTACTTGCTAACACGTTCAATATGAAAACTGGAAGAGGGAAGAAAGATGATGAATCGAGAATGATAAGGTCTGAAGACAACCTTGGTAATACAATTAGATGCCTTAACAAGTAAATCTTTTATCAGACTGTTCAAAGTTCATGACGCAAATATATCACATTTGTTTGATAAACCACATTTAATTACGTTATTCAAATTCATAAAAAGGGATTACTTGTTTCCTACTACTTAAGAACTTGGAATTTAGTAACTTAATACCAGAAATCAACGTTTTGTATAAATAGTACTTGTTTAGAGTAAGGTAATTCATTGTAAATGACTGGACAAAAGGCTGCCAAGCGTCTAACGAGTTTATCATTATTTATTATTTGTCCCTTGGGTTCCTAGTGGAACATAGTCTTTCAGTAGCACGCCTCCATTCCACTCTCTTCTCTGCAGTCTCACCAACATGACTCAAAAACTGCCTGCCCACAAGCTTTTATTTCTTCCTCACATCATCTTCTCCAAATCACCCTTGCCTCAGACGCCCAACTAGTCGTTTCCTCGTTGGATTCTACTCGACGGCCTGACCTGTGCATGATGTTCCCAATTGGCCTTTTCAGTGTATGCCCAATGCAGTCCATCTCCGCTATCTTCTTCTGCATATTTGTTGGGTGATTGGTTGGTTCGTTGCCAGAGTTTCTTTTTGCTTATTCTCATTATCCTGGCCATCTAATCTTCAGTATCGAGTGAGCGTAGGCTGAAGCTGTTGATGAATGTCTAACGAGTTTAGTTCATGGAAATAAATAATAATCCCAACACAGACACCACTTTGTATACTAAGTAACTGTTAATTGTTTTTTTCTTTTCAAAAGCCAAACAATTACAGAAATGTCATCAATATATTTATTGAAATTCACCAGCTTCCTGTATACATGTAATAGGATACTTACTCTTCAGTCATGTTGGATTTGTGAATCAGACTGTGATATTTAAACTAGAAAATTTGAACCTTTGTGTAAATAAAACTTCAAAGTGTATCAAACAGGTTGATCATATACAATTTGTTCTTCTGAATTGTTTCCTTTACTTTCATTAAGTATTATGATGTATAAAAAGATAGTTGATAAAAATCGAGAAAGTGTGAACAAAACTCATATGAATTATTAAAGCAAACTAACGTAGATATTGAATAATGAACAAAAATAGTATAATGTTAAAAGATTATGTTTCAAGGTGTTCATTTGATCTCAGTTAGAAAAAAATTATCAGAAATCTATATGCATATCATAATGAAATAGTGACATTTCATCAAAACGTTACATTTTTTAATATTATTCTTTAAACTACTGATTTACTTCAGTAGTATTTTGCACACTAAAAACTAAGTTGTCTATCAGTCATTTTTACAAGTATATCATTTTTCTGATAGTCCATATTCATTGGTATTTGACAACCCTAAGAGTTATCAACAACAGATTCAGTTTATTTTAGCAATAACGTAGTACTTCCCATTAGTATTACAGAGAAATCCTCAACTTCAAGGTGATAACTTATCAGTTACTTCTGAGTTATTACTACTTTTTGGATATTATCAGTTTGTAATGAAAGCATACTTCAGATATTTGTTAAACATAATGATAATAGGTCATAGTAACCTTGTTCAAATTAACTCTATGGTTAAGATAACTATCAAAAAAGTCAGACTAACTTTTTCATTCTTTAAATCGTAAGTCTGACTGATTTGAAATCCACCTGATATCGGGCATAATTTTGAATTTTTTCTCAAATCAGAGTTGAGCACTGGAACTACAATTGAAAGGCAAAATTAAATACTCATTAATTAGTTTTGACGATAAATGTATCTAGAAACTAGAGATATGTAGAAAGATCCATGAATACAGATATGTATAAACAGTTTATTGTCTCAGCAGTATCAAAACAAACATCCAACATCTAACCAAAAGCCTCTGTTAGCAGACGGATTCTTATACGGATCGTGGATCTTCCAACCTCCCTCTAGACGACATCATCATCACTAACTTCACTATAAAGTGAAATGTCAATATCTCTCCATGAGTGATTCAGAAACTTGCACTGACAAACTGGTTTGGGATTGGTCATCTCCTTTGAATGTTCTATCATCGACTGCATAGAATTTCCTGTTGGCTGCTCCTCTGCTTCGTCTCTAACCCTTCAGTTGGTTATCATTTTTCTCATTGGTTGATAGATTGAGTCTATGTTTATACATCTGTTGATTACTGACTGACTAACCTAGATGCCAAGCTTCTAGGAATTCTCTGATATACTTTGTGCCCAAGATTTATACATTGTCAAAATTGAATTCATGTTCACAGCTGTTATCCAAATGCATTGAAATGAATGATGAAATGTCGTGGCATTTAGTAGCGAATTGGTGTTCATGTAGATAAAGGGGAAGGTGGGCGACCGCTTTGTCCAGTGTAGTGTTGACTACAGTTATTGCAGTTGATATTGTAAATGATATTCGGTTTGTCTTCTTTGGTTGTTTCATTCCTTGGTCTGTGTAACAGTGTTTGTAGGGAATTTGTTGGTTTATGCCACAACCAAAGAAGACAAACCGAATATCATTTACAATATCAACTGCAATAACTGTAGTCAACACTACATTGGACAAAGCGGTTGCCCACCTTCCCCTTTGTCTACGTATCATCATAGAACACAGCACAGAATGGCAGTCAACCGTCTACCTCAACTTCATACAATTTGAAAAGGCATTCGACAGTGTCGAACGACAAGTAATTTCGCAACTAATTCAACACTACGCTTTCAGTGAAACAAACATTTATCAATCTCATTCAACTACTATATGAAGATGCCACATTCCAAGTAATTCACAATAGGAAGCTCAGTGATGCCTTTGAAGTGAAGACATGAATAAGACAAAACTGCCTCCTACTATCACCAATGATCATCCTCATTGTGGTTGATTCGACCATGCAACAAACTGTGAAGAGCCAGAAGATGACCATACACTGGACAGATGAAAACATCCTAGAAGATTTCAGTTTCACCAACGATGATGATTTATGTCGAATGTCACACAAACTTGAAGATATACATGCAAAACTAACATGTTGACAGAAGAGGTAGAGCAGCGAAGACGGACTTCCTTGAGGTGAATGTAGGGAAGTCAGAGGTGATGCAGATACACAACCGACAACACCACCACCAACAACAAGCTCCTACCAGCACCAAAGGATGAAACCTAAAGCAAGCAGTCTCTTTCACCTATCTGGACAACATCGTTTTAACTACAGACGTCAGAGGCACAGACGAGGACGTCGAAAGTAGCCAGGATCGGAAAGACAGCAAGATGGGTGTTCATTGACGTGAAACCAGTGTGGAGATCTTCTACACTCATCATGAATCGTGAACAAGATCCAGATTTCCAACACCGATGTCAGCCAAGTGAGTGCTTCTGCTTTACTCAGAGACTTGGTGCATTACGAAAGGCATTCTGAACAAACTATAGATATTCATCATCAACAACTGTCAACGCTCACTGGGTACTGAAGATCAGATGAGAAGGCCATAATAATAAGAATAAGCAGCAAGTAACTGTGTCTGGGTGGCTGACTGGCTGGCAGCGAACCAACGAAGTTAGAACCTATAGCTCAACAAATATGCACTGGAAGGAAGGAAGTGGAGATGGATTGGGCATGCACCGAGAAGACCATTTGGGGACATCACGCGCCAAGTCAGGTACTCTAGTGGAATCCAAAGGGGAAACGACGAGTTGGGCATCTGAGGAGAGGCTGACATGGAGGAGATGGTGTGAGGAAGAAATGAGAGCTTGTGGGCAGTCGTAGAGTGAGGTTCAAAAGACTGCAGAGAAGATAGTGGAATGGAGGCGTGCTACTGAATCCTTATACTCCGCTAGGAATTAAGGGGGAAAAACAATAATAATGAAATATTCATCTGCCTATCTTTCATTCAAAAATATTGTGAAAAGTTATCTGGAATGATCCATTTATAAAACATTACGTCAGAGAAATCTTAGAACAACATATTACAGTTGTCCTATTCTATGTCCCACTGTGAAGAATATGTTACGAAGACTGACCTTTTTGATATGCAGGTATCAATTCATTGACTTCTGTAGAGCTTGTGAAGTAGGTCGTTTGCCTATATCTGTCCCTCATCACACTCAACAGCATCTTACAATATGACGTAGTAAAGGGCAAAAAAGATAAATCTACTCATCTATCTTGCTATATATGGTAGACATTGAACATTCAACTTTGAATAACTCATTCAAACTCAACCAAACATTTTTAAACGCTTACATCTCCATTTTCGATATATTACAAAAGCCTTGACAATTCATAATTTGTAATTGGAGCTGTGTATAGAGAACGAAATGTTAGATCTACTCCAAACTTCGTTGACTAATAAGAATGTCTTGAACATTGATTACCATCAATTCAAGTTGCCTCAGGTATCTTTAAATTTAATTCACTTTTAAATTTACTTTGCTTCACACCCATTGCACAAGACGTAGCTAACATGGTTCGGTGGTGTAGTGGGTAACGCGCTGGTGTTTGTATCTATCGCTCCTGAGTCCGAATCCCGGTGGGAACAACATCACTCACTGGGAATCAGGTATATCCAACTGATGAGTCCCAAGTAGGACGAAATGAGCATCCCGGATTCCACTGCTAGTCACTATCCATCATTACTATTATAATAGCACAGGTAATTTCGAGGCATCCGCACAGGGTCCCATATGCCAATAGAGACCGATCAATTCGGTTCAATCAACCACGGTATGATATAAAAACAATTATATATCATTATAATGTTTTAATCCTATTACAATTTATGATTATTGTTCTTATAAAACTGAGAATGAAATCAACACTCAATATAACCATCTTTCTTCTTGGCAAATGAAGTAAATAATAATTTTACAGTAAAGTGATACAATTTTCATGCTTACTCGTAATCCATCTTGAAATAGTTGGCATAAATGTATTCGGATAACATAATGTTGAATCAGGTGTAGAAGAAGTATATTTGCCTGTTGCGAAAGAAAAATAAATTTTTTTTTTTAAAGACACCAAGTAAAGGCATATTTAAATCAATGTGATTTCAAAAGATTATTCAGTGAACAAAATATTTTTCTCTGACTTATCATTTTTGAACGTTGTACAATTGCAATTAATGTTACAACAAAATTTATGTCCATCAACCTATGAAACACTGGAGAAAGAAGTGAAGAAGAGTGTACACAAAGACAAAAGATACTTCTACAACACAACTGTAACTGAAGCACAACGGAGTACAAGTAGGAGAGACCGGGAAAGATTATATCAAATAATCAGATTACTATCCGGAGAAGAGATCAACAAAGATAAAACCAATGAAAGATAGTTAGGGAAACTTAAATATCACCAAAGTCGAGAAACAAAGGAAATGATGGGTCGACCAATTCAAAAAACTCTTGCATCCACAACCACCTGCAACTCGTCCAGAAATACCAACGACAGCCTAGCCACAAAACTACCAGTGAAGACAAGTCCTCCAACAAAAGCAGAAGTCCTGAACGCCATGTCATAAAGATACTGAAAGACGGGAAATCAACAGGAACAGACGGAATTTTTCCAGAACAGCTGAAAACAGACACATAGACATCAGCAGACATGGTCATACCACTATTGCAGAAAGTTTGCAAGGAAGGAAGGAAAGAAAGGTACATTCCGATTGGAAGAAGGGCTACCTTGTCAAACTTCCAAAGAAGGGTGATATAAGTCTGCAAGAACTGGAGCGGAATCATACTCCTGTTCAAACCAGGCAAAATATCAAGCCTCATCATCCTGGAGACACTAAAATATCCTCGAGATTCAAAATTACGACCAGAACAGGCTGGCCGGCTTCAGGGAGAACAAATCATGTGCGGATCAAAATGCAAGGCAGCGCCATGCATCACCAGGGAACAGAGTATAGAATGGTAGTCAAATCTCCCTATCGAATTCCTCCACTTTGAAAAGGCCTTCAATCGAGGCATCGAACGCGAAGTAATTTGTCAGTCATCTGCTTCAACACTACAGTTTTAGTGACACAAAGCTGAACTTTCTTAACCTCATTCAACAGCAGCTATATGCTATATAAGGCCACGTGTTAAGTGATTCAAAACACAATTGAAAGCAGGTCAGAGAATCCTTTGAAGTGAAGTGAAGTGGAGACAGGGGTAAGACAAGACAAAGTTGCTGTCAACTATCACCGAACATCTTCCTGATTGTGGTTGACTGGACTGGATAGTGGAAGAAACTGTGAGGAGCTGTGATAAGATGGGTTTATGCTGCTTGACAGATGAAGAGACCGTAGAAGATTTGTATTTCGCCGATGATTGATGACGTCTAGGCTTACACAAACTCGGAGATCTTTAGGTGAAAACTGACAAGTAGGCAGAAAAGGTAAGGCAGGCCAGGGCAGCGAAGACAGGACTAACTTCAGATCACTGTGGAGAAGACGGAGGCGATGGCGATATCTGACCACTACCACCACCAACCACAACCACAAGCACCAATCACCACCAACGGGAGAAACCTGAAGCAAGCTGTCGCTTTCCCTAACTACCTACACCTACACTACTACCACACACCTACACACCTACCTACACAAATACACAACTACACATCTAACTACCTAGGCAGCATCATTTCAACTACACGACACACACACACAAATGACGATGTCAAGGCATGCAACGATCAGAAAGATAGCAACACAGGCCTACCTCCAGCAACCTGTGGAAATCAGTGTGCACATCTACTACACCAAACTATACTGCACTGCAATGCACTCCACCACACTGCACTCAGCATCAAGCGTGAAGTGTGAAGTGTGAAGCGTGAACAAGATCTGGATATTCGACACTGAGTCAGTCAACTAAGTCAGTCATTCCACGTGATGCTTGACAGACTCGACGAATTACCAAAAACATTTCCAACAATCTCAAGACATCATACATCATCAACAGCTGTCACCTGCACTCGCCCAATCAATACTGAACATCACATCAGATGGCTGGAACAATGAGAATAAGCAACATGCAACTGTGACCACACAACGAACCAACCAACCAACAACCTATCACCCAACAAATATGCACTGGAAGCAAATGAAGATGGATTCGATTCGATTCGATTGGATTCCATTTGATCGGATTTGATTGGACATACATTGAGAAGAGCATTCATGGTCATCGTGTGTCAGATCAGTCAGGCCATCGATTTGAAGGGAACTGGGAAACGACGAGTTTGGCATTCGATGTGAGGGTGACAATGAGGAGATGGTGTGAGTAAGAAGTGAAAGGTTGTTGTTAGGCAGTTTTTGAGTTGTGTTGGTGAGCATGGATAGAAGAGAGTGAAATGTTGACACTTTACTGAGGATCTGTGTTCCACTACGAACTCCAGGAGCAAATAATTCATTTATAATACCTTGAAAGAAATACATGTACGGAAGTGATTTTAGAATTGTAATTTCAAGCTTGTACATTGTCACTGCTCTGGTCTTTACCAGTCTGTCAATATGATTTTCTAATAAATGTAGTCATGAAAGCCACTTAGTAATCAATGATCAGTCAACCACTTGATCCCGACATTTTATGACATATGAATCATTTGTTCTAGGCAATAGCCGAGTCATAAGTAAGTAGAGTTATTGATAACACTTTCCAAGAAACTTCAAAAGATGAATTGCATTTTAATTGACATCTCTGTATAACACAATCTAGATATATTTTTTTTTGTAAATGAAGTAGTTTTTAAGTATGTTACAGTAAGCCACTTAAACAAGTTTATTTTAACAAGAAAGGTAATTTGCAAGAAAAATTTAGAAAAACTTGATTATTTATAGCCTAGTAGTTGATTGGGTGGTATTTAAAATCAATCATTATTCTTTAATGTCATCGAGATGGCGGCATTCCTTGAACTGTATCTAATTCTTGAAGTAAGACTAGCAAACTACAACTTCAATGCCACTTCATGTGTTGCATAAGCCTACTTTACATTACCTATGATAAGCTACTCATATTGGTTAAATTTAAGTAGCATTTATAGATCTGAACAAAATCAATATAATATTGTGTGAAGACATTAATTAAATTACGTTTGTACTTATTTCACAGCCAAGCTCTTATCTTTTACTGATTATCAGTTTGACTATCACAAAATAACTGAGATTTAGGAGACTGGTATTGGTACAGGGTGATGACTTAAGCTGAAACTAAAACTTGGGCTGTAGCAAGATGAAAACCAAAGACTAACGCATTTCCGACCTAGTGGCCTACCAACTGATCTGTGAGACCCAACTGCTGACCATATCTTCTTTTCACTTCAATCGCCAAGGGTTTTGCCTGACTAAATCATGAACTTACATGGCAGTTAGTCAGAACCTTTGGTGAATGGGAGTGAAAACAAGATCTGGTCAGCAGTTGGGTCTCATAGGTATGCTGGTAGATCACCATACAGATAACCCGGTGGTCTGTGCTTTGAATCCCTGTACCACTTAGATTTTAATTTCAACTTCAATCATTACCCACTATTTTAATGATTAGTAGTACATGTGATCTTCTAACATGATGAAAGACCTCACTAACTTTTATTTGAATTACTTCGATAGACTTATAGTGGAAGTAAGTACACAGTAAACTGAACTGAGATAATAAAGTAGGTTTATAGGCAAACTAAAACTACTCAAGTAAACGTAAACGGTTTTTTTTCAACGATACGTCAGTCTTTAAGGCTGCATATCTCGCATGTGCATCTGAAAACTCACTGATTATTTAACGCTTAATACTATGACCAGTGGGCTCTATCATCTATCACACAAATCCTCAATAACAAAATCATCGAAAATTAATCTTCAACAGGGCATCTGCAGGGGATCCCATATGCACCAATCACCATTAAATGAAGATATCTAAAGCAAGTTGTCGCTTTCCCTAACTACCTACTCACCTACACATCTAACTACCTAGGCAGCATCATTTCAACTACACGACACACACACACAAATGACGATGTCAAGCATGCAACGATCAGAAAGATAGCAACACAGGCCTACCTCCAGCAACCTGTGGAAATCAGTGTGCACATCTACTACACCAAACTATACTGCACTGCAATGCACTCCACCACACTGCACTCAGCATCAAGCGTGAAGTGTGAAGTGTGAAGCGTGAACAAGATCTGGATATTCGACACTGAGTCAGTCAACTAAGTCAGTCATTCCACGTGATGCTTGACAGACTCGGCGAATTACCAAAAACATTTCCAACAATCTCAAGACATCATACATCATCAACAGCTGTCACCTGCACTCGCCCAATCAATACTGAACATCACATCAGATGGCTGGAACAATGAGAATAAGCAACATGCAACTGTGACCACACAACGAACCAACCAACCAACAACCTATCACCCAACAAATATGCACTGGAAGCAAATGAGATGGATTCGATTCGATTCGATTGGATTCCATTTGATCGGATTTGATTGGACATACATTGAGAAGAGCATTCATGGTCATCGTGTGTCAGATCAGTCAGGCCATCGATTTGAAGGGAACTGGGAAACGACGAGTTTGGCATTCGATGTGAGGGTGACAATGAGGAGATGGTGTGAGTAAGAAGTGAAAGGTTGTTGTTAGGCAGTTTTTGAGTTGTGTTGGTGAGCATGGATAGAAGAGAGTGAAATGTTGACACTTTACTGAGGATCTGTGTTCCACTACGAACTCCAGGAGCAAATAATACATTTATAATACCTTGAAAGAAATACATGTACGGAAGTGATTTTAGAATTGTAATTTCAAGCTTGTACATTGTCACTGCTCTGGTCTTTACCAGTCTGTCAATATGATTTTCTAATAAATGTAGTCATGAAAGCCACTTAGTAATCAATGATCAGTCAACCACTTGATCCCGACATTTTATGACATATGAATCATTTGTTCTAGGCAATAGCCGAGTCATAAGTAAGTAGAGTTATTGATAACACTTTCCAAGAAACTTCAAAAGATGAATTGCATTTTAATTGACATCTCTGTATAACACAATCTAGATATATTTTTTTTTGTAAATGAAGTAGTTTTTAAGTATGTTACAGTAAGCCACTTAAACAAGTTTATTTTAACAAGAAAGGTAATTTGCAAGAAAAATTTAGAAAAACTTGATTATTTATAGCCTAGTAGTTGATTGGGTGGTATTTAAAATCAATCATTATTCTTTAATGTCATCGAGATGGCGGCATTCCTTGAACTGTATCTAATTCTTGAAGTAAGACTAGCAAACTACAACTTCAATGCCACTTCATGTGTTGCATAAGCCTACTTTACATTACCTATGATAAGCTACTCATATTGGTTAAATTTAAGTAGCATTTATAGATCTGAACAAAATCAATATAATATTGTGTGAAGACATTAATTAAATTACGTTTGTACTTATTTCACAGCCAAGCTCTTATCTTTTACTGATTATCAGTTTGACTATCACAAAATAACTGAGATTTAGGAGACTGGTATTGGTACAGGGTGATGACTTAAGCTGAAACTAAAACTTGGGCTGTAGCAAGATGAAAACCAAAGACTAACGCATTTCCGACCTAGTGGCCTACCAACTGATCTGTGAGACCCAACTGCTGACTATATCTTCTTTTCACTTCAATCGCCAAGGGTTTTGCCTGACTAAATCATGAACTTACATGGCAGTTAGTCAGAACCTTTGGTGAATGGGAGTGAAAACAAGATCTGGTCAGCAGTTGGGTCTCATAGGTATGCTGGTAGATCACCATACAGATAACCCGGTGGTCTGTGCTTTGAATCCCTGTACCACTTAGATTTTAATTTCAACTTCAATCATTACCCACTATTTTAATGATTAGTAGTACATGTGATCTTCTAACATGATGAAAGACCTCACTAACTTTTATTTGAATTACTTCGATAGACTTATAGTGGAAGTAAGTACACAGTAAACTGAACTGAGATAATAAAGTAGGTTTATAGGCAAACTAAAACTACTCAAGTAAACGTAAACGGTTTTTTTTCAACGATACGTCAGTCTTTAAGGCTGCATATCTCGCATGTGCATCTGAAAACTCACTGATTATTTAACGCTTAATACTATGACCAGTGGGCTCTATCATCTATCACACAAATCCTCAATAACAAAATCATCGAAAATTAATCTTCAACAGGGCATCTGCAGGGGATCCCATATGCACCAATCACCATTAAATGAAGATATCTAAAGCAAGTTGTCGCTTTCCCTAACTACCTACTCACCTACACATCTAACTACCTAGGCAGCATCATTTCAACTACACGACACACACACACAAATGACGATGTCAAGCATGCAACAATCGAAAAGACAGCAACACAGGCCTGCCTCCATCAACCTGTGGAAATCAGTGTGCACATCTACTACACTAAACTATACTGCACTGCAATGCACTCCACCACACTGCACTCAGCATCAAGCGTGAAGTGTGAAGTGTGAAGCGTGAAGCGTGAACAAGATCTGGATATTCGACACTGAGTCAGTCAACTAAGTCAGTCATTCCACGTGATGCTTGACAGACTCGACGCATTACCAAAAACATTTCCAACAATCTCAAGACATCATACATCATCAACAGCTGTCACCTGCACTCGCCCAATCAATACTGAACATCACATCAGATGGCTGGAACAATGAGAATAAGCAACATGCAACTGTGACCACACAACGAACCAACCAACCAACAACCTATCACCCAACAAATATGCACTGGAAGCAAATGGAGATGGATTCGATTCGATTCGATTGGATTCCATTTGATCGGATTTGATTGGACATACATTGAGAAGAGCATTCATGGTCATCGTGTGTCAGATCAGTCAGGCCATCGATTTGAAGGGAACTGGGAAACGACGAGTTTGGCATTCGATGTGAGGGTGACAATGAGGAGATGGTGTGAGTAAGAAGTGAAAGGTTGTTGTTAGGCAGTTTTTGAGTTGTGTTGGTGAGCATGGATAGAAGAGAGTGAAATGTTGACACTTTACTGAGGATCTGTGTTCCACTATGAACTCAAGGGAAATGTACTAAACAGTAATAATAAAATAAATAATTTCACAGTTACTTCCATATGAAGTAATCTGCTTGCAAATGACTTACAAATTGTACAGACCTCACAAAAATTTCTCACATCTGATCAGCATTTTACAATGTTAACTTTTTCAACAGTAGGTTTTCCTTTGGAAACTATCCAGCTAACATCACTATATACGATCTCCGACACAAAAGTGTTATGAAAAGTGTTATGAACTAACAAAATACTCCACTGAACAACTTGATTAGTTGCACGCCACTCAGTATGATGCGCAAATTTTTCCAACTAGCCAGGTTGGACTGATTTAAACATTTGTCTACGGCTGAGTCAGATCATTACGTGTCTTATCGAACAAACTCACCTGAAATATCCTAAACGGCTTCACATCATAATCTCTTGAATCTTGCTACCTCATTTCCGTACACCGCAATGCCTTAATGATAGTGATCAATTTGAAAATGACTTACAAATTGCATGGTTCACATTCATATTTTGCACAACTGAGTAGCTTTTTAATTGGTTAACTATGCTGTCAACTCGGACTGGATTATAAAACATCCAACTAACACCAAAAGATGTAAATATTAACATAAAAGTGCCATGAACTAATGAAAGATACATTTAATCGACTGACTTGAGTGTTGTTCAAGTGAGATTTTAAGCAGAAAAAGTTGAATGAAAAGTGAGATTTAGAAAAAAACTAAAAATCATTATCTGTACTCACTTAAAAGTAAATTGAAAACTGTCACTGTGTCAAGTTCATTGACTGGCTCAAATTTAACACATTGATAAATTGATCTAAAATGAAATTGCAAAAGACTAGTTGATCATGTAGTTATTTCTTACAATAAATAAGTAAATTAATCAATTTGAAGGTTAGTAAAGATTTTCTTATTCTGAAACTGGTACTCAACAACTGACTGACATCAGTTGGTGAACCGATGAAAACCACGAAACAGTAGATATATGCTTTGTATTAGTAAGGGACTGCTCAATAGTATGAACTCGAGTCAATCGACCTGCAACGAAACTCGGATCTCTACGTTCCGTATTCAGCGTGTTATATATTATTGTGAGACTGGTCTCATATATCTAGTGTATGGAAAGGCGAAGAATGCAGCGAAGACGGAACTTCAAGATACCACACCACCAACAACAACAACAAACTCCAGTCACCATCAATGGGAGAAACTTAAAGGAAGTAACCTTCTTCACCTATCTAGGCAGCACTGTTTCAACTACAGGCGGCACAGATGAGGAAGTCAATGCCAGCCAGGATCGGAAGCACAGCGAGACAGGCGTTCATTAACCTGAAACCAGTGTGGAGATCTTCTGCACTGCACTCAGCACAAAGCGTGAACAACATCCGAATTTTCAACACCAATCCAGTCAAGTCAGTGCTTCTGTATGGTTCAGAGACTTGGCGCGTCACGAAAGGCATTTCCAATAAACTACAGACATTCATCAACAACTGCCACTACACTGGCTCGCTACTGAAGATCAGATGAATTGCCAGAATGGAAGGAATAATCAACAAGGAGCTCTGGCTGGCTGGGAACGAACCAACCAAGAACCTATCACCCAACAAATATGCAGTGGAAGGAAGTGGAGATGAATTGGGCATGCACTGAGGAGGCCGACTGGGGACGTCACGCGTCAGGCCAGTTGCTCGAGTGGAATCCAAAAAAGAAACGACGAGTTGGGCGTCGAGTCGAGGGTGACATAGGGGAGATGGTGCGAGGAGGAAATGAGAGCTTGTGGACTGTCGTGGAGCCAGGTTCAAAAGATTTCACAGAACAGAGTTAACTGGAGACGTGCTACTGAAGCCCTATGTTCCACTAGGAACCCAAGGGACTAATAAAAATAATAAAAGCGAAGAATGTGACTGAATAATCTTTGAAAGTATCAGGGTCTATGAATCATACGACTAATAGTCAGGAAAGGTTGAAAGTGATATCTCTCAAATTTTCAATGATGTAACTCAAAGAAAAGCTTATTCGTCTGAAAGAAATCTTATTCGCACTCGACATCAGACATGTTGATTCATCACAAGTGTTCTGGAAGACCAAACATCACCACACTAATGTTTGTGTTATGGTGACTGATAAGCTTCAAGCATCACAAAGTGATACATGTTCAATTCTCTCACTAGTCAACGCCACTATTTCGGTGAATATTTGAAAACAATATTTATAGTAAAACTATTATTTCATAATGAATTTCTTCTAAACTAGTCAATTGGTGAGTTTGGAACTTCATTTACTGCTTAGATTGTTTTCGGCAAGTTGTAGAGCTAGAACGCCCTTGATATTTGAAATTAAAGTATACTCCAGACATCCAGTTTATTGGTCTCCTTTTATTATAATAGATTAGTGAGTGGAGAAGGTTACTGGAAATTAGCGAAGGCTGAAGTAAGATGTTTTCACTGCAAAAGTATAAATTCACAGTTAGGAAAGAGATGAAAGCAGTTTGGGGAACAAACGAATAAACGAGACTCTATACCTCAGTGTCTTTAATCAAATTATCTACATACACAGAAATACTAAGTTGCTTTGACAGAAAAGATAAGAGATGATTTTCATTATCCACCATTTGATGAAATTATTTCAGCCTCCAAGCAATTGTGATATCATTCCACACTTAATTGTTACTCATTTATCACGTGTCTCCTCTTAACACAGACTTGAATATAGTCAGGAATTGACTCCAATTTTCATGGGAACATGAGTATTTCCTCAAACTATACTATAATGTAATGTAATGTAATGTTTCTGTTCTATTTCTCCTCCAGTATCCAATAGGAAACTTCCTTCAAGAGTTAGGTAAACAGACATTGATGAACAATCGAGAAACCGGTACCACTATGCTATTGTAACACATTTTATCATCATATTGCTAGGAAATGAAAGGCTGAGCATAGTGTTACAGAGAGATCCGGAAAATCAGAATGAAAGCATCAGAGAGTATAGATATGAGGAAGAATGAAAGCGACATGAGATGAGGGAGGACATGGATCATTGTTCTTTCTAATTCAACCTACAATCCCCAATAAGATTTCAGAGAGGACAATTTCTCCTTGTGATGATTTCACTTTCAAAAGCTGTACAGTCATATTGATGTGTAATTCGAGGTAGACAATGACAAGTTTGTTTGTGTGTGCTTTATTCTTACAATAAGTGGAATTGTGAAGTGCATTGATATGAGTGAGGAAACTATTCGGATTGGAAAAATATAGGAGACTAAAGGTGGAAGACTTACTACAAGAAGCGAATGAATGAATTAATATGGTGTGTTTTCTCGCTACTGCCTGCAGATTTCCGTCGTTGATTGGAGCGAATTGATCAGTTACTACTAGCATATGGGCACCGACGCAGATGCCTTGATAATGCCATATTTTCAGTTTGGTGGTAATCATAGATAGTGGCGTCACGACACCCGTCGAGGGAAAATTTCTACCGTTGAATGTGATATCTGTTCTATTTTGAGTTAGCTGACAGACTCATCACAGTAGTAGTAGTAGTAGCTGCTGCTCTGACGTGGTGGTCGTGTTCGGCCATGACAATGACTCAACGTGTATGCTGGTCGTAGCGCTTGTTCGTTGAAGTCCTACCAAACCAGGAACATCAGTTGGATGGTATTTTATTAATTAAACACAGTTGCTATCATAATGTGAATAGCTACGTTGCGGTTGTGATCCAGTATGAAATCGTGTTGCAGGCTGAAAGAGATTTGTCAGCGGCAAGGTATTTTTCTTGGTTGACCAGCAGTACCATACTAATGCTGCCTTCCTTATGGAAATGGAGTCTTGAAAATGTCGGCCGCGAGAGTAGTACACACCTTCCTGACCTGTAGTGTTCCAGAGTCGGTGATATGGGCTTTACTAGTCAGCATTAGCACAATAATATCTGAACATAACAACACGAATAAGGTTGTGTAAGACAGGCTTCAAGCAGATATCCTGTGAATCCTGATATCACACAAAACTAATCAATTTTATCCTTCAGGTAACTTTGAAGGGGACAAATTCCATGGTGTGGGTAGTCGGAAAATACTAAACACATACACACACCTTCAGTAGTATACAAAACCCAGTCAACTTAAACTATCTTCCTTACATTTGTCATCTGTCTCACCTTCACCTCCTGATACCGATACTCAGCCTGTTTCTAGTGAATGAATTTACAAGAAATAACAAGGTTCTTGAGACCAATCGATCCCCATTCATAATCTCTGCCTACAAACCGACCGACTGTAGTTTGAGCAATGTAAAGGATGAATCTTGTCAAAGCCATCAGTTTCAGTACATAAACCAAAACGTTCAGCAATTGTCATACTAGCAGGTAACTTCAACACTCAAGTAGGAAATCTGATCCAGTTAGAAATGAATCTTGGAGTTATTTACGATATCCTATACCACCGAACCAACAACGGTGATCGTTTCTTTTAATTTTGTTTAATAATTACCAGTTCTTGGCCATCACTGACTCAGAGCATAAGGAGAGACACTGTGACAATTGTCTAGTTTTCTCTGAGATTTGGTGTTTTTCCTTCGAGGATTCATCACCAAGTTAGGGGTTCTAGCCAGCATTCAGCTCATACAAAAGACAGACAATCTTGTCAAGTGTCCAGTGACATCATACCAATAAAGGACGCAGACAGATCGTATCGTTACAAGCCGTCGTTGGAAAGGACCAATAAAGAATTGTCCCTGTTTCTGTAGTACCTATTCGGACTAGAGTCAGCCGTTAGAGTAAGCACATGCATATTTGCATCTTACTGGGTGCAGGAAACAGAAAGTAACAAAGTTTATGCATGCTGGACTAAAAGAGGAGAACAAAAAATGTTTACTTAAAGAGGAGATAGGTAAGCATGGACCTGAATATACCATTTATTATGTTCCTTATGATGCCTGATGTGATATCTAGTCTGTTGTACAAATACCTATGCATACATTTCACTGCGTACCCCAAAAGGATGACACAAGCTAATGGATTTCTAAAAACCCATTTGAACTAACTGATATGAGAAGAAGCATTTCAGCCAGCTCTGGTCTCAGTGAGAAGCGAAGGAAGCTGAAATACATATTGACTAATAGTCTATGCAATGACTGAGAGCAGTAATCAGTAGCAAAATTCAAAGAGGCATAGAGATAGTCACCATTAGGTAGTACTCAGTAATTACTTAAGCTTATTAAGGATACTGGGAAGACGAAGACGATGATTAGTGAAACCGTTGCAACAGATTATAGGTTTGTGATAATCCCTCAGGATAAGTGGCCAGAACGTTAAACGGAATAGTTTAAAGAGAAATTCAACTGGCTCATAGTAATGCTTCAGTTGCTCAGAATCCAGTCTTAACCTGAATCAGTTGTAAATGCCAGTCTCTCAGTTCATCCGGAAGTTGAGAAGATACAAAACAGCAGGATCTGACACATTTCTAACGCCATGTTTTTACATACACACCTACCTACCTACACAATTACACAATTACACATCTAACTACCTAGGCAGCATCATTTCAACTACACGACACACACACACAAATGACGATGTCAAGGCATGCAACGATCGAAAAGATAGCAACACAGGCCTACCTCCAGCAACCTGTGGAAATCAGTGTGCACATCTACTACACCAAACTATACTGCACTGCAATGCACTCCACCACACTGCACTCAGCATCAAGCGTGAAGTGTGAAGTGTGAAGCGTGAAGCGTGAACAAGATCTGGATATTCGACACTGAGTCAGTCAACTAAGTCAGTCATTCCACGTGATGCTTGACAGACTCGGCGCATTACCAAAAACATTTCCAACAATCTCAAGACATCATACATCATCAACAGCTGTCACCTGCACTCGCCCAATCAATACTGAACATCACATCAGATGGCTGGAACAATGAGAATAAGCAACATGCAACTGTGATCACACAACGAACCAACCAACCAACAACCTATCACCCAACAAATATGCACTGGAAGCAAATGGAGATGGATTCGATTCGATTGGATTTGATTGGACATACATTGAGAAGAGCATTCATGGTCATCGTGTGTCAGATCAGTCAGGCCATCGATTTGAAGCGAACTGGAAACGACGAGTTTGGCATTCGATGTGAGGGTGACATGGAGGAGATGGTGTGAGTAAGAAGTGAAATGTTGTTGTTAGGCAGTTTTTGAGTTGTGTTGGTGAGCATGGATAGAAGAGAGTGAAATGTTGACGTGTTACTGAGGCTCTGTAACAGAGGAACCTAATGACGTTTGCGAATCAGAGATGTGTCTGTGGAACTTGTCTAAGTCACTGATAATTCTGGTTTAATGAAAGAATAGAAGTCTTCTTGTGGCAGCCATAGACTAGTCAATTTAGTCAATATCTTGGCGTAGGCCCTGTACTTAATAATTACATGATACCTGGTTGAGCTCGAAAACGGCAACTTCTATAAATTCAGACAGGTTTCAGAACTGGGAAGTGTCGTACTCATCAGATCCTCATTCTTCAACGGGTTTTGAACTCAAACCTATATACCGGCGACCGACACCTGCTATACTTTTTGACCTGAAAGCGGTATTACATTCCATCAATCAAGAGGTGTATTCACAGAGTCTAACTGAGAAAGGTAGCATCGAGCAAGTATAAAACCTAATCAAGGTTTCTATTCGAACTCACTCAATCATGTAAGGTCTAATGGAGTGTTGCCGTCTGAAATAAAGAAAACTAGTAGCTTCCTTCACGGATCCCCATTGTCACGTTCACATTACATTTCGTCATAGGTGCACTAATACACATAATTTTAAGTAGGTCTGATTTCACAGGGATTGATCAGCTCCTTGAAGGCCATCTGGTTGACTTGGAATATGGAGCCGATAATATCCTGGTAGGTGAAAATGCTGAAAGAATTCAGGGTCTTCTTAACGCACTGACCAAAATACAGGTGCATTTGTCATGCGTTTCGCTGGCACTTGTTAAATGTAAGATGATACTGCAGGACTGGTGCACTGCAAGCAATCCCAGTTTAATGATAGGGCGTGAAGTGGTAGAATGCATTAATCACTGACCAAATCTCTGCTCGCACATAGAAGGCTTGTTCGATATCTACAAACGTGCATCATCTGTGGCTCGAACTGACGAGATATTCGATTATCTATCAAAGGACAACTACACTGCTCTGCGGTTCATTCTGTCCTGTTGTACGATTGTGAGACATAGTGATTAAAAGAGGAAGACATGAACCAGTTGCCACGGCTTGTTCACAGGTGTCTTTGTAACATTGCTGATGCTTGGTGTAATCGCCGTGTGAACATTGTTCAAGTCAGATGAAGGGTAAAAAAGGTAACTTATTTGATGAGATCGTTAACCTTCATCGGCTGAGAGGGCTTGGACGTATTATATGTATGCTGAACCCCAAACTACCTCGAAGTGCAATGTTAGCTGAAGTAGGGTTGAATTGAAAGAAAGTTCAAGGCGGCCAGAGCAAGATCTCTCCCCACTTCAAGAAGTTGTTGACAACTGATCTGAGTCGTGCGGAAAGATGCGTACTACTTGGCTTGGCCGCTTAAGATGATGGGAATCAGAAGTTGGGGTCCTATCCTTAAATGGCTTAAAATAGACAAGAATGGCGCAGATGTAATAACTTTTTAATGTCTTTGAATGTTTGAATGTCTACGATAACCTTTATTCCTTAAATTCTCTCTCCTCCCATGCATTTTTTTTACTTTGATGTCGATCTTCTCAACGTATTTGTTCTTTTCATGCCTCTGGGATGTCTGTTTTGTAAGTTGATTCAGTCTGTATTTTCTGTCAGTGGTAGTAGTAATAGTAGCAGTAGTAAGTAGGCTCTGCTAAGCTGCAATGTTTTATTCACTGTCTATTATAAAAAGAATTACTTGGTTAATCGCTTAAAGCATGTTTTCAGTCGACAGGTACCACTGGAAACTTTAGTGAGAACTTCATACATGGGAAGTTGTTGTTCTTTGCTCAGACTAATTGTAAAAGACACAATATAAGTCTACAAGGTCCTCAGGTCGTTTAGGACATGTGGACCATTGAATTCCCTCTCAATGGCTGAATGGTAGCATTCTGGCAACGGAACATGAAGGTCCTGGGTTCAATCCCTGGCAGGGTGGGGTCATGGGTGCACACTACTGAGGAGTAGTCCCATACTAGGACGAAACAGCTGCTCACTCCTCCCAGGCTTCCAATGTTACTCCAACTGATATCAGTCCATGATCAATTCCAACCAAAAATCAAGAAATCCCGTAAGAAGATCATTTAATGCCGAAAAGCTATGCTGTGTATTCTATATTTGGCCGATGATGACCACGAGAACCAAAGACATACTACCTGACTTCTCCTCCTCTGTTTGCATTTACCAGTTCAACTGCTCCTATGAAACTAGTTACATTGGACGTACAGTTAGGCAAGTTCGTCGTCGAATCACCAAGCTTAATCCTTCATGTCTGAGTAAAGGGCAAATCAGATGGATACGATGCTCAATACTCTCGTATCTGATTGACACTGGCCATAATCCCTTTATAGTTATCTTTCACATTCCTTCTAACCTTACCCATGCTCTACGAGTTCGTCTTTTACATACGACAGAAGCCATCGGAATCCACCTAAACAAGCCAAGTCTGTGTGTTCAGAAGAAATTCGTACAGCCTCTTTCTTTGCGTTCACCTTCCGTATAGCTTATTTATTACAACAAGACCCTTCATTTCATTCAACCCATAAATGATTGTAACTGATATTTTAATACCTCTTTTATCAATATTATTACAGTTATTATTATTATTATTGCAGTTTTAGCCATGCTGTTCTCCCCCTGCTGTCTCTAATTACCGTCAACAATTTACCACTTTAAGTAACAATTCATTTTCGTTCTTTAGTGACCATTATACAAAATATCAGTGGTGTAACAACCTGTTTAAAAGTCCACAAAATCTTTCTACTACAGTTATTCTATGCTTCAGTTTATAGTCTTAATTAACTGATCTCCTCCATGTCATCCTCAGCTGGGACGTCTAACTCCTCTTTTCCCCTTTGGATTCCACTCGACGGCCTGGCGCATGATGTTCCCTATCGGCCTTCTCAGTGTATGCCCAATCCATCTCCACTTTCTTCTGCATAGTTGTTGGGTGATAGGTTGTTGGTTCGTTGCGTGGCCACAGTTGCTTGTTGCTTATTCTCATTGTTCTGGCCATCTGATCTGATCTTCAGTATCGAGTGAGCATAGGTGACAGCTGTTGATGAATGTCTGTAGTTTGTTGGAAGTGCTTTTCGTGACACGCCAAGTTTCTGAACCATATAGCAGTGCTAATTAGTGACTAGCTTCGAGAGGTGATTCGTGAAGTTCCGATGAGAAGTCGTGACCAGTGGAATCAAGCAAGTGGAGCATTAGGACAGTTACTCAACGATGACATTGGATGTAGGTCACGACATATGTTGAACTGATAGTAGTAGGAAATGTGAACGACTAGATTCCGACCCAGTGACTCAGTGTAAGCGTGCTGGCCAAGGAACCTGGAGGGCCTTGGTTCGGTCCCTGGCAAGGCGAGGTTATAGGTGAGCACTTTTCAAGAGTCCCATACTAGGACCAGACAGATGTGCAGTGCTCTCAGATTTCCAATGTTCCTCCAATTGATGTCAGTCCATGATGAATTTCAATCTAAACTGTATCACTCTGAAGTGTATAGGTTACAACATTTTCACTCATCATATAGTTTAGTAAGAGCGTACGAGTATGAACGTTTTCGCAATAAACATGTTATCCCATAAGTTTATTGAATTCAGCAATTTATTTCAATTTCACTCGGCTTTACCATTGTTAACCTCCTATTAGATCTCAGTAACAGTGATGGAAGATGGATACTTTATCCTTCTGGAGTCATAATTTAATAATCAAAGCGTAATGCGCGGTTTGTACTAAGTAATAATCCAATTTATATGATTTAACTTCATAGATTCTTACCCCTTTGCGTAGCTAAGCGAACTACAGATTGAGTTTTTATGTTATAGCTTGGTTATTGTAACTCAGTGGCTTAGTGTATAAAGCTGTTACTTTTGATGGGATTAGTCCTAGGCTGTGGTCTTAATGGGAACAATATCGTTTGAAGGGAAGCATGTACATCTTGGTGAAAGTGCAATGCTATAGTGAATCCTAATTCGAATTTTTTATAAGTATCCTTATCATCAGATGGTAATAAGTTGAAGGAATTCTTCAACATCTCAATTGTACTAATATTTGTACTAACAAAAAATGAATATGTCAATGATTCTATGTATTTATACTATGTGATGATTGAAGGTGAAATAAAAATTTGGAGTGCAGCCGGATTCGAATCACCTACCACTGGGTTTCCAGCCCAATACTCTAACAACTGAGCTGTGAGGTCAGAGCTGGAAACCCGGTGGTCGCTGGTTTGAATCCCTCTCCAAAACCAAATTTTCATTTCATCTTCAATCATCAACCAGTATAATAAATATACTCTTCTGTCAAACTACAGTTATATCAAATAGTCAAATGATTCTATGTGTACTTACCTTTGTACAGGATTATTATATTGTATTAAATAAGTATTTTTATCAAACTGCCATGAACATGACATTTTTACATAACCTAATGATGATTGATAATCAGTATTAGGATAACTTTTATTATCATAATTAGTCTTTACTTTTGTAGAATTGATATCAATCCTGCTTTTAGTATTGACAATAGTACTAAACCAATAGATATTGTTTTTATAGCCTTGACTGGAGTTATCATTTTGCTGGACACTATTCAATAGAGTAATACTGTCACTTTTATATGATAAGTTTTCATTTGAATTACAAATACTCATAAAGTGATCCTTTAAAGAGGGAAAGTAAACAAAGTGTCTTGTATACAGAATATGATAACAAGATAAGAAAAGCCATGCATCATGTAAATCTTTTGTAAATAACATTTGTAACCAACCATTATTTAAGTTTTGAAATTCTTTTGATGGTTGAATTGAATACAATAATGACATTTTCCTATTATTATTATTATTATTATTATTATTATTATTATTATTATTATTAGGATCACTTTTAGATTGTTGTGGTAAATTGTTCACACCATAATCTGTTATCCATAGTGATTCAGTTGAATGGTGTACAAAATTTGGATAGTAGCAGTTTTGTTCAATTGTCAATATCATATGATTATTTAGTAGAAATAAGTGAAATACTGAAATATGAAAATAAAAAAATCAAAGGGTAACATTTTAAACTATACATGTAATATTTACAATATCTTCAATGCTTAAAAAAGTACATCAGAATAAAGTGATAAATAGACTAACTTTCTAGACATTAAAATAAATTACAACTGGAACAGGCTGGCCGGCTTCAGGAAAAACAAATCATGTGTGGGTCAAATTACAATGCTACACTGAGCATCATCATCAACTTTGAAAAACCTACGACAGCGTCAATCGAGAAGTAATTTAACAGGTAGCCGCTTCAACACTACGGCTTTAGTGCCACAAACTTTTAACAACCTCATTGAACAACTATGTGAAGACGCCATATGCCAATTGATCCACAATGGAAAACTCATGGACGCCTTTGAAGTAAAGACAGGAGTAAGACAAAACTGCCACCTACTGTCGCCAATGATATTCCTGATCGTAGTGGACTGAACTGCATCATGCAGCAAACAGTGAGGAGCGAGTAGAGGAGCATACGCTGAACCGATGAAAATACCCCAGGAGATTTCGATTTCGCCGATGATTTATGTCTGATGTCCTGTCGCACAAACTCAAAGATGTACAGGCAAAATCCAACAAGTTGACAGGAGAAGCAGGGTAGGGCAGCGAAGATGGGACTACCTTCAGGTGAAGGTAGAGAAGACAGAGGTGATGAAGATAACAAACCAACAACAAGCACCAATCACTATGAATGGGAGAAACTTACAGGAAGTAGCCTCTTTCACTTATCTAGGCAGCATCATTTCAACCACAGACAGCACAAGCACAGATGACGACGTCAAAAACAGCCAGGGTCAGAAACACAGCGAGACAGGCGTTCATTAATCTGAAATCAGTGTGGAGATCCACTGCACTCAATAGTAGGGCGGGAACAATATGTGGATTTTCAATACAAATGTCAGCCAAGTCAGTGCTTCTATGTGATGGTTGGGAGACTTGGCGTGTCACGAAAAGCATTTCCAACAAACTACAGACATTCATCAACAACTGCCAACGCGCACTGGGTACTGAAGATCAGATTAGATGGCTAAGGCAGACTAGGGACATCACATGCCAGGCCAGGCCGTCGAGTGTAATCTAAAGGAGAAACGACGAGTTGGGCGTCCTGGGTGAGGGTGACATGTAGGAGATCATGTGAGGAAGAAATGAAAGCTTTTGGGGAGTCGTGGAGTGAGGTTCAAAAGATTGCAGAGAAGAGAGAGGAATGGAGGCGTGCTACTGAATCCTTATGTTCCTCTAGGGACCCAAGGGAAAAATAATAAATATAATAATGCTGGATAGAATTCCTCTACTTCTATTGACGGATGGGTTCCTGTTCGGCTGCTTCGATGCCACCCGAGTATGTATTATATTGCATGTTACAAATTGCTGTAACATCAGTCTGTGTAAAAAAGTTAGCCGAATCGTTTAAGCAAGTATCCAATTAGTCTACTACAACTTCGATAATCGTGAAGATAATCAATTTAAACATTTATAATGGTTTTCACGGTGCATGAACTGAACTCCTGCTTCTAAAATAAAATTCCATCGTTCGTTTATTGACATTAATCTCATCAAATTCTCAAAGATACTACTATTAAACAACTTAAGTAGGCATGAACCACTTACACTGATCTGTAGTATCTCACCAACTAACCAAGTCAGAGCGATCGAAACACTGGATGGCCATTTAGCTCGTTTGGTACCGAGGCCATCAGTGACATACTTGAACTATCATCATTAGTGACATTTTTTGGGCATGTCTTTCAACCGGTTGTCAAGTATATTTTTTTATTGCTAATCTGGTTACTTTACTAGATAAAGAAGGCTAATTTTTATGGTCTCATAAGAAAATATTTTGAGAAGACTTCTCTCCATTATATGATTGGTATCTCATAGTTTTTAACTTCATTACCAGTCTACTTACTTTACTTCTGTTAATAGGTACCATTATAGGATCTCAAGCAAGAATTTGCAGTCAACTTTCTCCCACTATCCAGAATTGACCGATATCTAATGGCTATCGATGGTTGCTCTGTAAAGTCAATTAAAGTTGTTTTCTTTGAATTATCAGGAGAAAAAGGAGAAATTCTACAGACAACTGCAATCGACACTGGACAAGACACCACCTCAGTCGGCGATATCAAAATTCTAATGGGCGACATGAATGCCAAACTGAGAGGGGACAACACAGGAAGAGAACTAACCATGGGTCGAGAAGCGCTCGGTGAGGTGATGAACGAGGATGGAGAGTTGTTTGCAGAATTCTGTGCATCCAACGATTTGGTGATTGGAGGCAGTGTGTTCAAGCACAAGGATATCCACAAAGCCACGTGGATTTCACCGGACACTACGACACACTAAAAATCAGATCAACTTTGTCTCAATCTCAAGAAAATGGAGACGCAGTCCACTTGACACAAGGTCAAGAAGAGGAGTAGATGTAGGTTCAGACCACCTACTATCTAGTGCAAAGAACCTTCCAAATCAAGTTGAAAGCCTTCAAGGAAGCTGGTGATAGACCACAGTTCAAGTACAACACTCGGAAACTGAAGGATGAAACTACAAAGGAAATCTTCACGGCAACCATCAAGACAAAATGGGAGATATTGAGGAACATCCCTAAAGAAACCTGTGTGGAAGAACACTGGAAGACTTTGAAAGAGATGTGGAGAGAAACCTGCACAGCCGTATTAGGCAGGAAGAAAAAAGAAGATAAGGAATGGATCTCAATGGATACATGGAAGCTGATGGAGGAGAAGAGGATGGTGAAGCAGAAGATAAACCAGTGCAAGGATGCTCAACGACAAGAGGAACTGAGCACAATGTATAAAACACTACACTGGACAAAGAAGTGAAGAAGAGAGCATGGAAAGACAAAACACACTTCTACGAAACACTGACAACTGAAGCAGAACAGGCTGCAGGTAAGAGAGACCTGACAACATTGCATCAAATAACCAGGTTACTATCTGGGAAGAGATCAAAGCAGACGAAACCAATAAAAGATGATGATGGAAATTTAATTGCGAAAGAAGAAAAACAAAGGAAACGATAGGCCGACCACTTCAAGAAGCTCTTGAATCGACCACCAACACCACCTGCACTTCATCCAGAAATACCACCTACAGCCACTGAACTACAAGTGAACATAAATCCCCCAACGAAAATGGAAGTCCTGAACGCCATAAAGCTACTGAAATGCGGGGAAGCAGCAGGACCAGATGGGGTCCCGCCAGAAGCACTGAGAACAGACGCAGAGACAACAGCGGACATGCTCACACCACTATTGCAGAAGGTGTGGAAGGAAGAGAAGGTACCTGGCGATTGGAAGAAGGGTTACCTTGTCGAAATGCCGAAGAAAGGAGACCTCAGTGTTTGCAAGAACTGGCGAGGAATCACTCTCCTGTCCACCCTATGCAAGCTAAATATTAAGCCACATCATCCTGGAGAGGCTAAGGGATGCGCTGGATTCAAAACTACGACCGGAATAGGAAAGCTTCAGGAAGTACAAATCATGTGCTGACCAAATTGCAACGCAACACTACGCATCATCATAGAACAGAGTATAGAATGGCAGTCAACTCTACACCTCAACTTTATCGACTTTGAGAAGGCCTTTGACAGCGTCGACTGAGAGGTAATTCGGAAACTGCTTCAATACTACGGAGTACCGCAAACCTTTATCAGCCTCATTCAACAGCTATATGAAGATGCCACATACCAAGTAATTCACAATGGGAAGCTCAGTGATGCTTTTGAAGTGGAGTGAAGAGAGGAGTGAAACAAGGTTGCCTACTATCACCCATGATATTCCTGATTGTGGTCGACTGGATCATGCAGCAAACAGTGTAGAGCAAGAAGAGGGGGATACACTGGCTGGACTGCGGAAAAGGACCTAGAAGATCTAGATTTCGCCAGTGATGACTTGTGTCTGATGTCACAAACTTGAAGATCTGCAGGCGAAAACTAACAAGTTGACAGAAGAGGTGAGGCGAGGCAACGAAGACGGGACTTCAAGTGAATATAGAGAAGACAGAGGTGATGAAGATACCGCACCACCACCACCAACAACAAACTCCAGTCACCATCAAGGGGAGAAACTTAAAGGAAGTAACCTCCTTCACCTATCTAGGAATCACTGTTTCAACTACAGGTGGCGGCACAGACGAGGATGTCAAAGTCAGCCAGGATCGGAAAAGCAAGACAGGCGTTCATTAGCCTGGAACCAGTGTGGAGATCTTCTGCACTGCACTCAGCACAAAGCGTGAGCAAGATCCGGATTTTCAACACCAATTCAGTCAAGTCAGTGCTTCTGTATGGTTCAGAGAATTGGAGCTTCACGAAAGGCATTTCCAACAAACTACAGATATTCATCAACAACTGCCACCTACACTGGCTCGCTACTGAAGATCAGACGGGTAGAAAGAGTAAGCAACAAGGAGCTCTGGCTGGCTGGGAACGAACCAACCAAGAACCTATCATCCAACAAATATGCAGTGGAAGTGGAGACGGATTGGGCATACACTGAGAAAGCTGATTGGGGACATCACGCTTCAGACCAGTCAGGCCGTCGAGTGGAATCCTCAAGGGAAGCGACGAGTTAGACGTCCGAGGTGAGGGTGACATGGAGGAGGTTGTGCGAGGAGGAAATGAGAGCTTGTGGACTTTCGTGTAGCCAGGTTTAAAAGATCTCAGAGAACAGAGTTCACTGGAGACGTGCTACTGAATCCCTATGATCCATTAGGAACCCAAGGGACTAATATTAATAATAATAATGATCTTTGAATTATCAAGAGATAGCCGTCTGCTCTACTTTCTACCGTGTGACTTCGTGCGTTAAATCAGTAAACCTTCGTTTAGACATTCATCTTAGAGAAAGTTAGTAGTTAATCTTTGCAATATAGTGTTATCGATAGGAATACAAATGAAGACGACATATGATACACTATTACAAATATCCGTATTTTGTTTGACTTTCAGTTATTTTGTGCCGAAT